ATACCCATTGTTTTGTTAGTTTTTTAATATTTAATTTTCTTAACATCTATTACAAAAATTTGCGGAAGGATCATGGAATCTTCGAGGATAGGAAAAGTAAGAAAAAGAAATGTTGGTTCTAAGGTTCTCTGCAAATTCATCTAGAAAACCAAGAACTTTTGTTGAAACTTTGTCTAGTTTTCATTCTAAATCATACATAGAGCAGTTCGAATTAATTATCTCATAACGTTCTCAAGCTGTTGTAATCAATTGTGATATAGTTATGAATTTTTTAATATTAGGCATGTATAGCCTAAAATGGGTGATCTTAACCCGTTCACTCCCGATGTCTGTATAAATAGACATGTTATTTTTAAGCCGCGAACGACGCAAGATATTAACAAGCGCTTTTCAACATTCGATAGCCAATACTTTAAGCTATGTTTCTATAAGCAAAAACTGGTTTCCAAAAAATTTCAAAGATCGGATTTTCAAAGGATCTCTGGAAAACCACTTTGTATCTCTCAAAACTAAAACGGCAACGTATCGATCTTTTTCATACATAGATAGCACAAAGTGTCCTGTTAAAAATGGGAATTAAGCGAACTCTCTTAGTTTTTTGTGGTTTAAGCGTGGAATCGGATTTCCTCGAAGCCCCAGGATCAATATTTCTTTAGATGTGGTAGTCTCAAAAACAAATGGAAACATAGATAATCGACTATGCTACCAACGGCTGTCAACTGAGTATGACTCATTTTGTAAACCCATCTAGTTTTTTGGATGATAGGGCTATATCGATGATTCACACACCATCAGATCGGCCAACACGCCAGCTTTAAAAATATGTAGAGGTTTTATCAAAATTCGTTTTCCTTGGTGAGAAAAATGGCTTTTACTGAAAACCAAAGAGAAACAGCGAGATGACCTTTGGAAAACCAGGCTGTGTGTAAAACTTTTCAATAGGATTGTATTGATTTTCTTCCATGCTATGATAGCCCAAGGTATCCTCTTCAAAATGAGAGTCAAGTGAGACCTTGGTTTTCCGCGGCTCTGGTGTTGTGTCGGATTTCTTGCGAGTCCCAGGACTGGCACTCGGTGACTATTGGTAGCCTTGAAAACGGATAGACTATAGGTTTAAAGCTGGCGTGTTGGCCGATCTGATGGTGTGTGAATCATCGATATAGCCCTTCACCCAAAAAACTAGACAGGTTTACAAAATGAGTCATACTCAGTTGACAGCCGTTGGTTCGGATGTCCATGGCGGACCACTGTTTATCTCTGAAATGAGCTGAAAACCTTTTTCTAAATCAGTTTTCAATGCTGATTTAGAAAACTATAGCTCGAACCTTGCATTTTGCAATACAAGCTCAAAAAGTCAATTCCACCATAGAGGACGATTTTTTGTATTTTTGAGGTCCTCTTAGTAATTTGAGTTTTTCTCCATGAAGAAATGACTTTCGAAGGCTCGGAAGGTGTTATTCGTAATCAGCTCGTTAAGCTGAATCTGAATCTGCATAATAATGCCAGAAACAAATTCCACTGAAATTTTGCATTACCTCCACCTTAGTTTTCTCTAGATTTTTGAACTTTTCCGAACAAACAAATAGTGCCACAAGATTTAACGTAGTCGATTGCCTATGTTCCATTTGATGCCCGTGCTATCAGAAACCACTACACAGCAGTCATGGGGCTCAAAATTTACAAGAAAAGCCGTAAATTAGTTTCTTCTTATTTCTGTAGCTTTGAGCTGACAATGAACATTTAGGGCTTTTTTGTAAATTCTATAACTGTGCAAAGAAAGGTCGTACAAAGCTGGGAGATGTCTCATTTTAATCAGAAATGTGCGGGGCTACAATCATGCCTCATTAAAAAAGGTTCGGGTTATATTTTAGAGTTTTTGAAAAACTGGTTTTCTAGAAAACCAGGTCTTCGAAAGGCTATGGGGAAGCCCCATGGGCGTATTCGTAATCAGCATGGTCGATAACCTATAACCCACTAAATTCCGAGCAAAAAAGCGTTTAATCACTTCGAGGGGTTCCTTCGTTAGCATGGGCGATTTCCCATAGTCCAACCGTCCTTCAGGCTACCAATAGTCACTAGGTGCCAGTCCCGCTACTCGTAGGAAATCCGATCCAACACCAGAACCGAGAAAAATCAAGGTCTTACTTCACTCCCATTTTGAAGAGAACACTCCGGGCTCGTGAAAAAAAAGCAATACAATTCTATTGGAAATCTTTTACGGACAACCTAATTTTCTAAAGTACTTCTATAAAGCCTGTTTCAGAAAACTCTTCTAAAAGTAATTTTAGTTATGAAAACATGTCTCCAAGTCTTCTCTTGCGGATGGTAAAAGCCACAGGTCGATAGCTCTTTTTCTCCAAAAGATATACGCAAAACATCGGAGTTCGTAATTCATTGAAACAGATAGTAGTCTGATCGCATAATTAATACTGGAATGAATCATGGTATTATTTAGAATACACAGATTATAGATTATAAAAATACAGTGTATTATTTTATTACTATGCACGGTGTATGCTCTTGAAAATTTCACTTCAAGTGCAACTGAAAATCCCAGTCGAAATTTTTCTGTGTTTTCTTAACTAGAACTCACTTCTTATACAACAAAAATCCCAGTAACTTCCACGAAAAAACAAAAGTAATCAGTTAGGATAAAAAAAGTACATCATTCGACTCGTTTTTTGGTACTGACGCACGAACATGATAGGTTTATTGCATAAAATGTGAGTTCTAGTTGAGAAAAGAGAGAATTACAGACAGAATTCCGATTTTTTCGCTCCGGATTTAGAAAAAATGTATTCTCTTAATGATAAAGCAAAATAATAGAAAATATGGAAAATTTTTGCAGCTCTTCGGTACGAGAAGGTACTCGAGCATTGATGTCGACCTATAGACAAAAATAACCAGTATTTAAAATTTTCTTTCTCAACGAATACAAAGAAGCGGTAATTTACAAATAAAAGTGTAAGCCATCAGAGTGATGCTAATTAGCATTAATTAGCACTTATCAATTATAATCGAATACCTCAAAAAATAATTCTTTTAGTGGAACTATGAACATAGATCATTGTCTCTCAAACTATGCAAGGATGACGCTTCTACGATTAGGTTTGATCTAACTGCAGGCTTTCCAAAGGGGGAATCAGCAGTTCAAATCTTATTTAGAATTTAAACTTAATTAATTATCAGATTGGCAACAAAGTCTTTGCGTTTTTTTTTAAATTTTCTAAAACATTCGAGAAACTTCCAGAACTTTCCATACGAAGAGTATATAAAGGTGGTACGCATAACTTCCAATCAACAATAAAGCTATAGATACGGACGTTGATCTCGGATTGGAAATGAAGCTATCTCGTAGGGAGCTCCGAGCGCTTCTGCTTCATGAATTCCGTTTGGGCCGCAAAGCAACAGAAGCAACAAGCAACATATGCACCACGATGGGCAAGGATGTACTCTCCACCCGTACGACGCGAATTAGGCAAGATGTAGAAATATGGAGTGTGGATACCACATGATTTGTCACTGCATCAACTTCAACACAGGTTGACGCATGTATGGAATTAATGACGTCTCACCGCAACTACCAATGGCTCCGCAATCTTATTGCCGGCGATGAAAAGTAGGTGTTGTATGTTAACCACACGCGCAAGCGACAGTAGCTGTGAGCTGGACAAACAAGTGTAGCAACGCCCAAAAATGACCTTCACTCAAAGAAGATTATGTTGAGCGTTTGGTGGGGAGTAAGAGGGATTATTCATTGGGAGCTTCTTCCAACTGGCTGCACCATCACCACTGATCCCTACTGTCAGCAATTAGACCGAGTTGCAGCAAAACTCCAGAGGAAGCAGGATAGAATTTATTTTTTGCATGACAACGCCAGCTCTCATATCGCAAAGTCGACGCGTGAAAAATTATTGAAGCTCAGATAGGTTACGATTACACATCCACCGTATTCTTCGGACTTGGCTCCCACGGACTACCATTTGTTTCGTTCTTCTTCTAATCATTTGCGCGAGAAAAAATTTGACGACGAGAACGACCTCGAAATGGACCTCGTCAACTTCTACGGCCATAAGTCCCAGAACTTCTACGATGGCGGGATCCTTTATCTTCCAGAGTGTTGGCGATAAGTCATAGATAGTAATGGAGCATACATTGTTGAAAGCTAGTTCTATTCTTGTGGTTGCAAAATAAAATGAAAATCTTTGAAAAAAACGCAAAAACTTTCTTGCCAACCTAATAATAACACTGTCAATCCATGACCAAATTTGTTTTATTCCACAGGCATACCATAAAGGTGTTTTCTACCAATTGGCCAGGTTTGAGGATATGTTTGGGGTGAGGACACCTCCCCTTAACTGCAAGAGTATATAACTAAATGGTAAAAGTAGGAAACAGCTTTAAAAAAAGTTGAGGGTTGGAACGCTTCATTCTCTCATTGTTTTTATTGTTGAGCGTTTCGAAACGCGTATTTTAACATTTCATTACCGTTCACAATAATCGGGATCGGGAAACGCGTTGTGCAATTTCAAAAAAACGGCTTTTCTAAAAAGGGAAAAAACACATTTAAATTACAATAAATAAGTCTTTGAGCTTTGATCATTCGTAACGGGTTGTACGGGCGTTAAGAACAATGTGTATTTTTGTTCTGAGACGATCCTTAGAGAAAAATAGAATTATTCATTTACAGGTACAAGCGATTCGAGGTACAGCTAAAATTGAAACGATTTTTGGAAAATTGAATAAGCGTAAACCGGGGGTGAGTGCTCGTATTTGTCCAATAATACAGCATGACTATGGAGAATTACAATCGATCGATCAATTTCGTCAAGAAGCACTAGATCTACATAATTGTTTGAGAAGAAACCATGATGCTCAACCGTTAAGAATAAATGAAAAGTTGAACGACTTAGCACAAACATGGGGTAGGGTTCACAATACTGACTCAATTTTATTTTTATTCAAGCGTTCAACTTAGTTGCTATTTTCTAGCCGGATATATGGCAGCTAAAAATATGTTTCAACACAGTAATAAAATGACATACAATGGTACAATAGTAGGTGAAAATTTAAGTTATTCATCAGCATCACCTCCAGATCCAATGACAGGTATACTTAAAAGGAGACTAGTATTCGTTCACTTGTTAAATGTATCTTACTTACAGGAGATTCAATGACTCGACCATGGTATGATAAAGAAGAACCAATGTACCGATATGATAACGACTATCAACCCCAATTAACTCATTTCACGCAGATAGTATGGAAAAGTACTAAAGAGGTTGGCTTCGGAAGAGCAAATAACGTGAACCAATGGTATAATCATCAGAACCCCGATCTATGATTACGACCGTCCTATACGGTCGTATACATCAAATTACGACGACGTAATTTGACGTATACCATAGTATTTCGTCGTATTTTGACGTAAGCCCGGCCAGCGTATTACGTCAGCCGTTAAGACCGTCGTATTTGAACGTAAATGACGTCATTTACGATGGACGTAATATGTTGGCCGGGTTTACATCAAAATACGACGAAATACTATATTATACGGTCGTAAATCGTTGACCCGGGAAGTGTGAAATATTTTAATTTTTTCTCTTTTATCTTTATTGCATAGGTACGGCGTTGCTGTGTACTATCCTCCAGGCAATATTCAAGGACAATTTTCTAGAAATGTGAAAAAGCCGAAATAAAACATAATGTTTATAATTTATTTTAAATTTATATTGTTTTCATGCTGGGACCGACGAAAGAACGGAGAAACGTAATCTGTTATGGTTCAGATAATCAAACGACAAAGACAAATGTTTTTCTAAAAAATGAACATTACCATATACTTTCAATGAAATAAAACAGAAGAAGTAGATAAGATATGAACAAGCGGCCTAAACCGGCCATCATCACTGAACAGTTTTTCTATGTTGAGTAAACGAAACAGTAACAAGTCTCTATGACACCGCTTAGTGTTCTCAACGATGAAAATTATGTTTTTTCTGTTGTATATCTCAAAAATTGTATTCTAGCGGTGCATTTCAATCTACTAGTCAGCAGCTACTCAGTACTTTTCAAAAAATTATTTTTCTTCTCAACTTGAAGCTGAATATCATCCTTATCAGCGCTTTTTCTATGTCTGATTATCTAATCATCTAATGCTGTGAAGTTAGAAAGCGTGTTTCATTGTAATATTAATCTCTCCTTGCTTATGTAGTAGTAGTATCTTTCAATATCTGTAACAGTCTAAGTTACGTAAGTTTTGTACTATTCTAAATTTTTCTTCGAGTTTAGACCAAAAACAATGTCATTCATATCAGAAAATACGAACTTGTTGTCAGACTGAGACATACAGAGTCATATGTATATAAAAAACACTTAGAATAAATCCTTTTTTAGCCATAAGTAGTTCCTGATGAAATTAAGAAAACTCTAAAACTGTTCATGCCAGTGGTCTTCATTCTCCAGATATGATCGACATTTCGTTAAAAAGGAGGCAACTTTTTCACTTTTTGAAAGAATGTTCTGTCCCCATCCAGTCAGTCATAGTCATTCCAGAAAAGTGCAGGAAACTCTGTTTACGAAAAATTTTACGCGTTTAGCGAGTTTCAAATAATAACGCCCAAGAAGCTACGAGTGTATAAAAATAAACCGCAGAAAGCATACGTTGCTGTGGTAACAAAGGCTTTACACGCGTGTTCCTGCTGTTTAGTTTTACACACTCGCAGCTTCTTGCGCGTTATTATTCGAAACTCGCTAAACGGATAAAATTTTGCGTAAACAGAGCGTCCTGCGCTTGTCTGAAATGACTATGACTGACTGGGCATGAAAAATGGTACTATATAAAACGGAGTGTACACCTGTGAACACTGTAAAATTATGTGTGGGCACACATAAAAAATATATTCCAGTTGTAAGAATGCGTGAACTTTTCTCATGAAACGGCGATATGTACCTCATCCGACAGGAAAATCTTCGAGCTATTCAAAACATTATTCAGATTGGTTCCACCCCTCACTAATAGGTCAAAAACAAGAGAGTTCTTGTGATTATGACACATTGTACTGCTTAGATAACACCCAAAAGCTTATTTTCCACATCTTTATGGCTGACCCGACCTGTCTGAATATTGTGACCAGCTCACTTTGTAGAGACTTTCAAGAGCTATTTAATGGTATGTTTTCGAACAATGCATAATTTTTCATTCTCGCAGAAAAACGACTAACGGAATGTTGAAAGCACTAAGATAGGTGAAAATCATTACATCGACCAAGTATTTCAACTATTGACCCATATGGGTATATTTTTGAAAGGCTTATTTATAGCTCATTTTTAAGCTCGTGAAATTCTCTATCTAATGATATATCTGTCGTAATGGCTAGATGAGAAGTGTTGATCATAGGATCCTTGAACTAGCCACCCACTTGTCATGGCCTTGCAGAAAGTATTTCTAATGTCAAAGTGCCCTAGGGCACTTTTTTCACTGTTTTATATATATGAAATTGTAGCGCGAGAAATTCTCTATCGAATGGTATATCTGTCGTAGTGGCTAGATAAGAAAGTGTGTCATAGACTGTCTTGGACGTATTGGCCTCAGAACGACTATTTCCGTTTATGTAATATACAGAAAAAGAGGTTTCGAATGACATATAATAGTTCTAGTGAGATATGAAGCCGAGAGAGACACACTCAAAAATATGATCGATAATACATATCAGAAGCAGCAGAACTTTGATTACAGGTAATTCGACCCAATTTTTTCTGAGAGTAATTCTAAGGCCTGCCGAGTGCCTAGAAATGTTCTCCTGTTCATTCTGCATCTAACCATGTATGTGTCAATGGAATTCAGGCAGGGGCCGATTTCATCAAATAATCGGCCCTGTCCTTTTTCATACAGCTAGTCCCATAGGTGGTCTAATTGCTCCCAAGATTTCAAACAAGTAGCTTGTTAAGGTCATTGCCTTGTTAAGGCTTGTTAAGGTCGGTTAAGTCATAAAAATCGACAGAATAACAATTTAAAAAGTGAAAAAAGCGTCTGTTTTATAACAAAATGTCCATCATATCTTGGAAGCGAAGGTCTATCAGCACGAACGGCTTAGGATTTTCTTAGTCTCATCAAGGCCTACTTATGATCAAAAGATGGAGTCGAAAGTGAGGAATCAGTTAAGGCAGTTCCCTCGTTAGCAAGCATAAAAATGGCAATAAGAAATTTCAAAAAAACGTTATCTTGGGTTTTCAAGTGCTGTTATTCCCGCATCGCTTTTAGCGTAAGCTAGCGTGCAAAGGTGAGTATCGTTTTGTCTGATGTTTTCCATTCTTTTAGATCTATTTAAGCGAAAGAACTCATTTCTACATCAGAAAGAGAATAATTCAATACCCCATACAGCTGAAATTTGTTTTCTCTGATCGAGACTGGATCATCGAGTCATATAAAGGAATAATGATTGATTGATGCTATAGAGTAACTTGAGAGAAAGTCCGCGAAAATACAACGATCATAGACTGTATCTGATGACTATATTCGTTCAATCAAAAAATGTTTTTTAAAAATATATACAGTTTGATATGTTAAGTATTGTGATTTTCAAGTATTTTGCTTTTTTGAGTATATAATACTTGAGAACGTGATGTAATCGAGTTCTAGAATACTAGGCGCTGCGGTTCTTTGAAGTAGATAAACCATTTCGTCATTCAAAAATCTTTCTATCTGCGGTACACGGTTTTATTATTCAGTAAATCTAGATTTTAAATAATTTATATTTTGCAATTAAAACGAATAATGACATTAAAGATTTACACAATAAAACAACATAGTGATTGTTAACGGATAAAAATATTCGTTTGCGAGATGATCGTTTATTAGAGATAATAGAGACAAGTGAAAGAGGATAAAAATAGTATTTTTCTTAAACTATTTATCCATCATTGATAAGCAGAAGTATGTTATACGATACATCGACATTACCGCGAATGGCAATATCGCTAATATAGAAAACGACATCACCGTTGTTTATTAGAAAAGACGAATAAATGAAGCCGGTTTTGTATTTTGTACATCATGAAACTTAACTGAAGTTACATGGTGACTAGTCATTATCTGACACAGTCACAAATATCTAGCTTCGCATCACGGAAATATGTTTTGTGTGAAACCACTTTCGACCTCACTCTCACAATGTCCTCCCCACCTTCCGCGACATGATATATAAAATACAAAACTAGGCTCATTTATTCTTCTTTTCCAATAAACGAGTCTTCGGGGTAATGCCGTGTCACGATGTTATACAACTACTAGCATTTCTGCATCAGTTAATAACACCCATAGGTTGACACAAACATCACAGAAAAGTGTTTTTTTAAAAATTTGATGACACTTTAAGATAATTCCAAACACTTCATCGAAATCGAGCCTTCAACAGACTTCGAAAACTCACAGATTTTACTCGAATCTGCTTTTTATGCCTTGGTAAAAGTACAGCGCATAAAAATAAATAAAATATTCAGCTATACGCCGTGTCTATGTAATGCCACATCTCCATGACTAAAGTTTTGAGAAATGTTTTCATTGTGGAGCTGATATGAGTTCATCACTGGATGCAGTTTCCCACGCTGATTGCGAATATGACATTTTTGTAAAAGATAAAAATTTGTTTAAAAAAATTTGAAATTAAAAGTTTTAAAAATTTTAATTTTAATTTCCTGAACTAGACAGTTTTCTTTAAAAGTTTAAAAAAATCACATCACTTGATAGAGAATTAAATTCTTTACAAAATGACTCATTCTGCTTGGAATTCAGATACTTATAACAAATTTTATAAGCATTTTATATTTTTTAAAAACTCGAAAACTATTTTTAACTTTATTTTTCACTTAAATACCTTCCATATATGACAAACTTTACAGAAAGTGATAATTCGAGTTTGTGATGTTTACTCTGATCAAAAAGTCATAGCTGATAAGCACAAAAATTTCTGCATAACGGTGTTACGAAAAAATGATTATTCTGGGCTTGTAGAACTGAGGTGGGAATAATCTTTTCTACGATCGGATAGCCCGTTGATCAAGCTACAAAATGGCTCGGAAAGAAAAAATTTTTATCATTCGTTTTGAGAAAATATGCAAAAGACCATCTGAAAAAAGACCTTTTTTTCGTAACAATGTTAAGCTCTTTCTTTTGTACATAGAAATTAAATTTGAAAACCGATTTCGTTCTTCTTTTTATCATTAATTGGGAAGAGATCGACATACATAATGACGCCAGAACGAACATTCTATCACATACCTTTTCTAAGAAAATCAAGAGATAGTGTGGAAAAAACGTAACAGCATTACGTTTGGACAAGCCGTATACGTGAAACAATAAAAATAAATAACATATGTTGCGCAGTTCTATTTCTTTTTGGCGACGAAGTCCAGAAATCTGATGCTTTAATTAAAAAAGTCGAAGCTGGAGTAAAAAACGACACACTTTTGTAGATATGCAGTTAGTGTATTAGTTAGTCCTTGACCCCCGTAAAATAGAACTAGCTGTAGGGTAAAACCTTTTAGTTCTGAACATTTCCGGAGTAGCTATCTTTCGTTCAGAAATATTTACAAGATGTTAGTGATGAAGGCAGCAATGAAACTTTTCACTAGTATCATCCATTCCTATGATCGATATAACTTAGCTGCAATAGACACCACAGATAGGATCGATTCCTGTTTCTTCAAAACCGAACCGATCCTACCTCTGATAGACACTTTCAGTCAGCCATAAGTGGATACTTAATAGAGATCAACCCGCAACAATTGAACGCTGTGCGCCGTTATGATGTAAATCAGCGTCTATTTCATCTCCCCACTCTCCTTCATATTTTGTCCCATCTCTCCACCAATACGTACCAAAACCATTTCTTTCATTCTCTTTCCACTCGCCTTCGTATCGACTTCCGTTTGGCCAACGCTTTATTCCAAAACCGTGGTGTCCACCATTTTCAAATCCTCCATCGTAGGTGCCTGCGCCATTTTCCCATGTCAACTTACCGCGTCCATGTAATAAACTGTTTTCCCATTCGCCTTCGTATATAGCGCCATCTGCCCAAATATAGATACCCTGTCCATTCCTCATATTATCCTTAAACTCTCCCACGTAATAATCTCCACGTATAAAAGTGACTTCGCCTTGTCCGTTCATTTTATCATTTTCCCACTCGCATTCATACCAATCTCCATTGGCAGTAATCATCCAACCGACTCCGTGTTTCAGATCGTTCCTCCACTCTCCTCCATATTTTTCTCCACTTGACCAAGAATATAATCCATATCCATGTTTCTGGTTATTTTTCCAGTTGCCGTCGTACTCCGAACCGTCAACCCATTTCTTTTTACCGTTTCCATGCATCAAATTGTTTTCCCACTCGCCATCATATAATGTACCACAAGGCCAAGCCTCAATTCCTCTACCATGTTTCAAACCATCTTTCCACTCTCCTACGTACGTGAGTCCATCATTCCACACATATTTTCCATGACCGTGTCTCAAGTCGTCTTTGAATTCTCCTTCATAAACATCGCCGATAGGTAATTTTAGGCATCCATAACCGTTCATTTTACCATCCTCATATGTGCCTTCGTATCGAGTACCGTTTGGTCCTGTGTAGATACCTTCTCCATTCAATAAATCTCTTTTGAACTCACAGTCAAAGTGTTCATTATTTACCGATGTTAGGAGACCTCGTCCATGTTTCAGTCCATTTTTCCATTCACCAATATATTTATCTCCACTCTCGAACCACGTGTACGTACCATATCCATCAAACTGGTCCTCTTTCCAATCTCCATCATAACTATAGACACCAGGAACTACCGTGACGCCGTGACCATGTTTCTTATCATCAATCCATTCTCCGTCATAATAATGTGAATTTCCACTTGTTACTTTTCCTCGTCCATGAGCAATGCCATGTTTCCATTCACCCTCATACGTCACTCCATCAAAACTGCTATAAACACCGTATTGTTTATCCCCTTCCCATCTCCCGATAAACTGCTCCCCGTTCTCCCACGTAAATAATCCTTGACACCACATATCATCTCTCCATTGACCTTGCCATTCAAATTTATGTGAATATTTGTATAAACAGTATCCTTCTCCGTGTCGTTTACCATCTTTTATTTCTCCTTCATATCGACAAGTGTTATTCTCATAAAACATTACTGAAATATCTATGGCAAACAATTTCAAGTCCGTTAATGGTGATATAAATAGATTTATTCTACGTTGACCATCTTCTTTCATCCGTATCAGAAGATCATTGAGAGATAAATACGACTGTTTTATGTATGTAAAAAGATATTCGATAATTCTCAACTCATAAGTAGAATAATTTGTAATTTGGAGATAGACTAATTTCGAAAGTTTTGTATTCGTTAAATTTAGTTCGACCGACGTTTGTTTGTAATCAATTAGACTTAGTTTATAACAATGCCATTCATTGCAGCTGATAGTGTTTGTTGATTCAAGTTCATCAATCTGTTTTCGTTTAGTTTTGTTTTCACGTATCATTTCGAATTCTGAAAAACAAAGAGAATTGTGGTGCTTGTGTTTGATATTAAATTATAACTATTAAAAAATACTACGAATTAAGAACTGATCATTCGACAATATTTATAAAAATACGAACGCAGAGCAGTATTTGAAAAGATCGTGTTGCAATTGATAATGAACTGTAACATTGCCAACTGTCTCTGCTCGGTGTTTCAATACAAGTCATGAATCAACAAGATATCGTTATCGATCACTTACTAATTGATACAGGTGTATTGTTTCAATGTTTACAAAACAATCGCCTAACAAAAAATATTAGAGCGAAAAAATTGTGTTAAGTATATCTGAAACTTAAAATGGATTAGCATAACATGTCGTTCAATATGTGTGAAAACAACCTTAGTACACGATACATACATGCGTACAGAATATCTGGCTGTGATTAAGAAAGCATAAAGTTATAACAATAAGCCAAGAAATATAAAACATCGCTTTTCACACTATGCATATGAAACAAGTCTTACAAGACCTGGTGGCTCATTACACCACACAAATTTTACTGAGATATATAGTTGAGGTGTGTCAGTTATTCTTAACAGTCCCTTATAAAATCTAACGTGTCCATTTATATTTAGTGGCGTTTAGTTCAGCTTCAGCTACAAAATAATATATAGCGGTCAGGTTTCATACACTAGACCTAATCCCTTGAAAGCAACTGACGCGTAGTTTACTCACTCGACGAGTAAAGTCCGATGTAGAGATATGCACGGGTATGATAATCATACCCTACCAGTTCCGTACCGAACTTCATACGAAAAACATATGTGACTACATTTAATAAGAATTAGATTAATGGAAATTCAATTCTTCTGGGAAATATTTGTTCCACCTGTTCAGAATACAAATGTAAAGATTATACTGAATATTTATGCTATTGTCTATTATAAGTTATAATCTCACATCGACATTTTTCTCGGCCGGTATCGTCTGAACATATGAAAAAAATACATCATAGAACAATGAATAGATCAGTCTAATACATCTATAATTTGCTTAATATAAATTGAAATGTGTAATCGAAAACTCGTTTACCAAATAAATGATTTTCATCTAATAATGATCTTCATAGCAGTTATAGATTTCCTTATCTGATTTATGCCTTTTTACAGAATTAGTGACATATGTTTCATAGGGTAAAATTTAAAAAATCACAATTAAGAAAAGCAACTTTATATCCGTACCCAAACTTATAGTCCGATGGGTGATTATAGAGGCTCGGTTGACTGCTGCAACAAAGAGAAGCAAGTTAATGATTCTGAATGATTATCTTGAAAGATCTTAAACGAATAAAGAAGGCGGATTAACTTCATCAGAAAACGGCCCCTCGTTTTTTCGGCTTATTTTACATCGACTATTGTAGAAAAGATGTTTCGCCGCATTTTCCAGTTGTTCTTATGGAAAATAAGCTCAAAATATGCTAACGTGAATTATTTTGAGATTCCATTAGAGGACGTCGTTGGTAGAAAAAGGAATAGTTTTGAAAAATCCAGCATAGGTTCACACAAACCTTGATATAAAATATATAAATAGCCTTAATTCATAAGTGAAAAACTGAATAAGATGGTATATGACCCATAGTCAAGTGCCATATTACTAAGGAGAAACGGTTTATTTTCAAACATCCCCTGTCTGGTGATTATGCTTGAGTGATCATTGTTCTCATTTTCTCCCATAAGCAAGAGAGGATCCAACTAGTCTCTAGTATAGAAAGATAGCTCTTGGAAAACTCTACAATATTTTGAGTAAACAAATTCTACATTCCACTGGCTCAATTCGTTATACTTCCAATGCGAGAAAAATCAAAGAAATGTATATATATTTTGCAGTTTTCATCATCAAATTTCAATTTTTTCTCGAAACTAACATATTATAATATTTGGAATCACCGATAAAAACTGCATAAAACATTATTAACCATAATGTTATGCCTTAATAGGAGAAATACACAAATGTCGTGGACATACCAATAAGGTATCAATGATATTCTGACAAACAAAGTAACCTGAAATAAAATAAAGTTCTCGCTATTCAGCTTTCTTATGCTCAAAATAATTTAAAACTTAGAATTTTTAGAAGTTAATTTCTCTTTGTCTCTTTCAGCGTAATCAGGATTGTTTAGGCTCCTTTTACTTTTATAAAAATATCAGTGTGTATGACAGAATGTATATATAGATATCATGCAAGCAAATGAAAAAAGTTAAGAGTGACAATGTGTATAGATAACACATGTGTCTGTATCAAGTATAAAGAAATATATATTGAAACAATGTGAACCGAAACAATGAAATCGAAAACAATATGAACGCATTTCTCTTACATAAAATTTGTTAGACTTGACTACATCATGTTTTACTTAGGCTTTTCTTCGAGAACATGGTGTAGTTAGTTTCTGAGGCTTTCCTTGACCATTCAGCACTGTCACCATGCCCTAACCTTTATATTACAATCAGTTTCTGAGAAAGAAGACTCAAGGACATGCGCGTATAAAAAGAGAGTTCAAATACTTCCACACAGAAACAAAAAAATGCACCAAACAATATCTTAGCGTCGATGAATTCTTACGTAGCGGTTCTTATATAAAGAAAGAATGAAAAACAAAAACTATTGATGCGAAAGAATCTTAAAAACAAAGTGTTTCTAAAGGTAGATGAGACACTGATTCCACCATGTTTTACCCGGTTTTCTCTTCAGGAACATAATGCAATCAAAGGAATCATGTAAGCGGTTTTTTGAAAGTTTAGAAAAATGTTGATTGATATTTTTAAAACAACTTCAGTCTCACACTTCTCTAGGTTCTCCCATATTCTTCTCAGCTACGGCAATTGTGCGACAATAAAATCGAAAGGATTTATATGTCCCTATTCTTTCGCTCACTAAAACTGCTGTATACTTACTCTGTAAATTAGTTATTTCAATGATTTAATTCTACTTTAAAAAGTTCAGGCAGCAGCTATAAACTGCAAAAAGTTCGAGTATAAAAGAAGAAATAAGTACTTTATATAACAGACACTGTTTTCGTCTCGTTTAAAAAGGAAGAATGTAGATATTTTCAATCACACACGTGTCTATCGCATAAGTCATATACAGAAAGAAATCTGTGTATGGATACAACTTCTTTCAAGTTGAAAAATGTTAGAGAAGTGTATATCTGATTATATAAAACATGTTCATTCGTGTGAAAGATAAGTTATATCTAGGAGCTTTCGTTTACTGAGAAATAAACGTTTTTTATAGATACATCACACACGTACTCTTTGTAATATTTTTCTTCAACAACACACGTGGTTTTCATATAAGTCTGTTGGTAACATATAAACTCTTTCAGGTTCAAACATGGTGGAAAAGTACGAAACATGTTTCTTCGTTTGAAATTTATATAGGATGAAATACACGTGTATCTCAGTTAAATATAATACAACAAGTAGACAAATATCGATAGGCCTGTAGCAACAAATGTGAATGTTAAAACTTTGGTCAAAAAAAGACATTTTACATTTAAAATGCTTCTTGTATCAGCTCACTAGTCGACGTTCCTGAAATTATTCTTTAAGGATTTTGATGTCTTATAAATTCTTTAAGGAATCACGTCTTTTTTTCTTGACTATTCTTGTCTTGAGTATTCTGTCAAGGTTCTTTGAGATTTTTCGTATATTTTATATATAGAGAAGCTATACACGTGCCAGACAGAACACAGAACTTAGTTCATGAAGACAGACCATTGACCATAGTGATGCACTCTAGTTAGTAGACAGTTAAGGCTTGGTGATAGACGAAAATAACCTTATTGAAAGATAAACCCAATGTGTGAAAGAGGAACTTACTATCCATTTCAAAATAGAATGGCCGGTCAGTGTTGACCTTATAGCTCCGGAACGGTGATAGATAGAGAGGTGCGGTTTTCACCATTCGAAAGAGAAATATGGGGCTACGATACCCATGAAACAA